GGATGGAGGAGAAGGGATTGCGGCATGGCCATCTCCCCTGGGGGGTGATTTCTCGCTTTCTGTCTCTCTGTCTCTCTCTGTCTTTCTGGCGAGTGCACTCACCCTATAGCAAAAGCCTATCCAAAAAAAAAAAAAAAGAATCTCAGACATGCCATTTCATCACTACTTAAAGGTTTTAAAAACATGTGATCATAATATTATTATTATAGTATTACATTTCAGTCAAGCCATTCTAGACCACCCGAATTAATAACTCCTTAACATGGGACCAACAGATGGCATAATGGTTACGTCACTGGACTCCCATGTAGCTGATGTTGGTTCAAATCCCAGACCCGGTGACTTAGAACTCATGTTGGGTGTGTGTGCATGCATGCCCAAAATCCTAAAAGGAGACTGAAAGAGAGGAATTGCAATGTAGCCATGCCCTCCAGTGGAGGAGGGGTGTGATTTCTCACTTTCTGTTTCTCTGTCTCTCTCAGTCTCTCCGGTAAGCACACACACTCTATAGCAAAAATTTCTCTAAAAAAAGGTTATTCCTTAAACTAATTCAATAAAGAATCCATGTTCGATTTTCCCCATTTTTTTTGTTTGTTTTTGTTTTTTGGGTTTTTTTGTTTTTTAGTTTTGGCTATAGGATATGTGGGCTTGACAGAAAGATAGGGAAAGTGAGAAAGTACCCCCCAGGGAGGATGGCCATGCCACAATCCCTTCTCCTCTCAGGACTTTGGGCACATATGCACAAGCACTTAGCATGATTTTCAAACCACTGGGTCTGGGACTTGAACCACTCAATCAGCCATGTGGGATCTAGCCACCTTAAACTCCAAGCCATCTGCTAACCCTTCTCTGGTTGTTTTATTTTTATTTTATTTATTTATTTTTTTTAGAGAGAGATTTTTACTATAGGGCACATGTGCTCACCAGGGAGATGGAGTGAGACAGAAAGTGAGAAATCACACCCCAGGGGTGATGGCCATGCCACAGTCCCTTCTCCTCCATTTACCTCTTGGGATTTGGGGCATGCACGCACATGCGCCCGGCATGAGTTTTAAACCACTGGGTCTGGAACTCAAACAATGGTCGACTACATGGATTCCAGTGATGTAACCATTTCACCGTCTGCTGGTCCCTCTCCAGTTGTTTATAAAAATGTCTTTTTAAAAAGTTATTGTTTATAAGTCAAGAACGTGACAAAGTGATCCGTACAGTGCATTTGATACGTCTCTTAACTCCTTTTCCTTTCTTTTCTTTATTAAGATATCATGTGCATGCCATAGAATTTACCATTAGGAAATGTACAATCCCGTGTCTTCAGCGCACTCACAAAGTTGTGCAACAAATAGCACATCTAAATCAAGAACATTTCATCACCCTCGAAATAAACACTGTATTCATTAACACTCAGTTCCTGTTCCCACTCACAGCCATTAATATTCAGTCTGTCTCTGTGGATTTGTCTGTTTGAACATTTTATAAAAATAAAGTCATGTGGAGGCCAGCAGGTGATAGACTGTGGTTCAAGTCCTGGACCCAGCGGCTTGAAATTTATGCTGGGCACATGTGCATATATGCCCAAAATTCCAAGAGGAGAATGGAGAAGGGATTGTGACTTGGCCACCCACCCTAGGGGGTGATTTCTCACTTTCCTTCTCTCTGGCTCTCCCCATCAAGTTCATGCACCCTACGGCAGAAAGCTAAATAAATAAATAAAATGAAACCGTATGATACGTAATGCTTTATTTTAGGAGTTTTTCACTTAGCATAGTGTTCGCAGGGTTCCTTCATCTTGTAGCATATTATGACTGAATGTGTCCCTTCAAAATTGACGTGTTGAAGACTTTACTCCTAATATGATATTTGGAGATGGGGCTTTGGGGAAGTAATTAGGGTCAGATGAGGTCCTGAGCGTGGGTTCCTCACAGAAGGATTTGTGATCTTATAAAAGATATCGGTGAGATCTCTCTGACCCAAAAGAACGATCGTGTGAGTACGCAGCCACTTGACCAGAATCAGTCAGCTGGTACACGGATCTCAGACTGCCAGCCCTCGGGACTGTAAGAAAACACATTTCTGTGATTTAAGCCACCTTGACTATGACATTTTGTTAAGACAGCCCGAGTAGACTAAGATATACTGTATATCAATACTTCATTACTTTTTATTGTCAAATGGTACTCCCGTTGAATGAATGTATACATTTTCTTTGTCCATTTACTATTTTCAGTTTTACCACAGAATGCATGGAGAGAGACAGAGAGATGGAAAGTGAGAAATCACCCCCCCACCCCGGGTGAATGGTCATGCTGTGATCGCTCCTCCTCCATTCTCCGGTCAGGAGTTTGGCATGTGCACAGACACACCCAGCCTGAGTCTCTCTGGGATTCAAACTTCGGCCATGTGAGAGTCCAGTGCCTTAACCACCATGGTGGTATTTAGTTCTTTGATCTATTTTGAGTTCATTTTTATATATGGTGTGAGGTAAGAGTCCAACTTTCTCTTTTGCAGGTGGCCGTCCAGTTGTCTTTGAAAGGCTGTTGGTTCCCTCATTGAATGTCTCACACCCTTGTCATAATCAGCTGACCATGAATACACGAATTTATTCCTTGATCTATATGTCTGTCCTGACGTCTGCCACATTGTGTTGATCTCTGCAGCTTTGTGGTAAGTTTTGAACTCTTAAAGCTATAATGGTGGGTCTATAATAAAATCTATAATAGTGGGTGATGGGGAAAGGCAGGATGTATTTCTCTATGGTTTTCTACGCAAATGTGTCATGACTTTTCTGACAACCCAATAACTGACAGGTATGTATATATGTAAAATGGGGTCTCTTCTGAAGACCTTCCCACATTCTGGATGTGGGTGACACACCCTTGGAGCGGCAACATGTTTCTTTATGTATTTCTAGACTTCAGATCCTGAGACTTCACTGGGCTCAGGTGTACTAGCCCGAGGAGGTGTTGAGCACTTCCCGTTGCGTCACATTGGAAGGCACTTTATTGAGCTCACGTCATGCTCTTTCTCCCCAGCCTACCCGTTACAAAATTACCCATCAACATTTCACTTTCTATCAGAAATACTAGATTAGGGGCCAGCAGGTGGCGTGGTGGTTAAAAGCGCTGGACTTCCACGTGGCCGACTGCAGTTTGAGTCCCAGACCTGGCAGCTTTCTTTCTCACTTTCCATCTTCTCTCTCTCTCACTCTGTCCCTATCTGGTCAAGTTAAAATAAAATAAATAAAGTCAAATAAAAATAATTCTTTTTTTAATAAAATACTAGTTTAGCCTTTTGGTGCTGCGGCCGCAGCCATGACTAGGCTTCAAAAGAGGTTTGCCTCTGTGTCCTCCGCTGTGGCAAAAAGGTCTGGTTGGACCCCAAGGAGACCAATGCAATTGCCAATGCCAACTCCCGTCAGCAGATCCGGAAGCTGACCGAGGATGGGTTGATCATCCGCAAGCCTGTGACTGTCCATTCCCAGGCTCAACGCTGGAAAAACACCTTGGCCCGCCGGAAGGGCAGGGATATGGGCACAGGTAAGCGAAAGGGTACGACAGTGCTAGAAATGCCAGAGAAGGTGACCCGGATGAGGAGAGTGAGGGTCCTGCGGCTGCTCAGAACATACCCGAGTCTAAGATGGACCGCCACATGTATCACAGCCTGTACCTGAGGGTGAAGGGGAATGTGTTCAAGAACAAGCGGATTCTCATGGAGCACATCCACAAGCTGAAGGCAGGCAAGGCCCAGAGAAGCTCCTGGCAGACCAGGCTGAGGCCCGCAGGGCTAAGACCAAGGAAGCACGCATGCGCCGTGAGGGGCACCTCCAGGCCAAGGAAGAGATCATCAAGGCTCTGTCCAAGGAGGAAGAGACCAAGGAAGAAAGCTCCCCGTCTCTCATCTGTACACAGTGGCATTGGCAGTTACTCAGGTCATCGTTTAAATAAAATAAGCCCTTATCTGCTAAAAAGCAAAAATACTCGTTTATAGCCTTAATCTAGTATTTTACCAAGTGGTGACTCTTTTTTCTTTTTTTTTTATTTTTTTGAGAGGTTTTTGCTATAGGGCGCTGCGCTCGCCAGAAAGACAGAGACAGAGAGACAGCGAGAACTCACCCCCCCAGGGGGAGATGGCCACGCTGCAATCCCTTCTCCTCCATTCTCCTCTCGGGACCTTGGGGACGCACGC